CCAAGATGGCTACCATTGCAACAGAGACAAAAGGCAAGCTTTTCTGCCTCAAGGTCTTTTCTAGGAGCAAAGAGGCCATTCCCTAAGTAGAATCCCCTCTGTGGCCAGGGCTGAGACACAAACTAGCAATAGTTTCAGGCCAGACTGCCCTACATGATTCCTCAAAAGGTCATGTAAACAAAAACAAACACCTGAGGCAGAGGTATGGCAGAGGACCCGAGTTTGGTTCTTAGCACCCACGTCAGAGGGCTCACAACTACCTACCTGCACTAGAAGTTCTGACGCCTTCTTCTGGCCTCCAAGGGCATCCACACATGTAAAATACTCACAGACACACTCTCATAAATACAAATTAAAATAATGAAAAAGAATAGGGCCAGGAATATAGCTGAGTGGTAGAATGTTGTCCACCATGGGCAAAGCCCTAGGTTTAAGCCCAGATGCACAAAGAGATAACTACATGAAATGAGGACGTAAGCTCATGTCAGAGCCTCGTCTTCCCCCCCCCACAGAACCCAGGAAGAGGAAGCAGCTATCTCACAGTAGTGGGTGTCATTACTGTTGTATTACTTTGCTGCCTCGTGACTTTACAGGTAGAGAAACTGAGGCAGAGTGGTGGAAGGACCCAGCCAGTCACTGACAGAGTGGGAGATTCAGATGGAGACTCAGATTCAAACATGGCCCTGTTTGAACTTTTTCCTCTTCCCCCGCCTCTGTTCTGAATCCCCAAGTTTATTACCTAATCACCTTCCCTTTTGCTCTTCTCCACCAGGTAAACCAAGACAACGACCAAGTGCAGAAGGTACGCCCTGACGTCCATGCCCTGACCGTGAGGGCAGGGAGGGTTCTGGGTTGGTCAGTTCTTCACTGTCATGACTCAGACAGGGTTAGGAGGTAAGAGAAAAAGAACAGCTGATGTTGGGGCTGGAGAGATGGCTCAGTGATTTAGGAGCACTGACTGCTCTTCAGAGGTCCTGAGTTCAATTCCCAGCAACCACATGGTGGCTCACAACCATCTGTAATGAGATCTGTGCCCTCTTCTGGCATGCAGAGTACTCATAACATGAAATCAAACAAACAAAGAAGCTGGGCAGTAATGGCTCACACCTTTAATCCCAGCACTCGGGAGGCAGAGGCAGGAAGATCTCTGTGAGTTTGAGACCAGCCTGGGCTACAAGAGCTAGTTCCAAGACAGACTCCCAAGCTACACAGGACAAACAAACAAAAACCAGCTTCCATTGGGACTGAAGAGATGGCTCAGTTGTCATAAGTGTGTACTGCTCTTTCAGAGGACCTGGATTTGCTCTCTGGCTCATGCACACACACACACACACACACAAAAAAAAAAAAAAAAAAAAAAAAAAAAAAAAAAAAAAAAAAACAAAAA